TGGGAGAGAGAAAAAGAGGGGAAACGACATGAAAAATAGAGAGATTTAATGGCATTCGAGTGCAACAGATCCTGAATTTATCATTAAGAGAGCAAAAGTACTGGTAATTAGATTCCGGGCGCAGAGAGAAATATATTAGTCAATACCAGGAGCGCCAGTACTGAGCGAGTAGTGGTCATTGAGTCGGTAAACAGACAAATGGTATCACAAACCTGTATACAGTCGAGCAGCAAATGGTCATCGATCGGGGGATAATTAATCTGATGGTTTGGGTCGAGTATAGCGCTGGCCTTCTGGAACAGATGGTTCAGGTGATGGAATGGCGTCCGCCCGTAGACCAGTGTATACAGAATACAGCCCAGACTCCACACATCGGCTTTGCAGTTGTATTTGATCACTGTTTTACCCCTGATGTCCGACCGGTTCTGGAGGGCTTCGGGCGCCATATAGTTGATCGTACCTAACATTGCATTTTCACAAACAATTAACTCATTTGATTAATCAATACAATTGATTAATGCATACAAACAAATGCATAGAAAATAAACAACAAAAAAATAATCAACTGTTATACCAATCTGTGACTCCTTAAAAACGGACGTATTATTGGCTTGAATAGCGTTGGCAATGCCGAAGTCGATTAGCTTCAACTTTCCGGCCACTAGTATAAAGTTGACGGGCTTTAGGTCGGAGTGGACGACACCCTTGGCGTGTATTTCGTCCACCGATTTGAGCATTTGTTGCCAATAGAAGCGAACCAAATGCGGATCGAGTGAACGCTTCTCTTCGGACTCCATGAACGACTTGAGCACATTGTTGAGGTCGGAGTCGCCCTTTTCCATCACCACAAGCAACTGTTGGCCGTTGTTCTGGTACTCGTGTGCGTACATTCGCACCACTCGTTTGCATGACCCGAGTTTGTCCAGTAAAGTGATCTCATTCTTATAGCCGCACACTGTCTGCTCGTCCGCTCGGCTCAGGTCCACGATTTTGATGGCCAGAGTTCGTTGCTCTTCGGGGTCGTAGACCTGATACACCTGTGCGGCAAATAATGACGTTTATTAATTACACGGCAACTTCATTATAATTTAAAACATAATTGAATCGGAGTTTTACATACGATACGCAAAACACAACACTAATTACATTATATATTAAGACTCAAACCGTTTTCACTTCTCATTTGTAACTCATTTGCGAGAGAGAGAGAGATTCATATGAGCGAAGCAATCATTTCATTCAATTCAGTGCACAATTCATATCAAAATTGTTTCTCTCTTTTTCAATGTAAACAATGTAAATTAAAAAGTGAAATAAATGCATCAATCAATGAAGTCACCGATGGTTTGAGAGAAAGTGTGTGAGAGAGAGAGAGAGAGTAGATATTTTAATTCACATATCCATTGAGTTTAATTAAAACAAATGCAAAATGTGTTGACTTTTTTAATTAGATTAAAGCATTTAAAGAGACAAAAACAATGGATAAGAATTATAATTAGATAGTATTTTCTAGACTTTCAGATATATGCAAGATTTTTTGCATAAAAGCAGTCCAAACCCCAAGTGATAAATAAATGGATATTACATAATAAAACAAAACAGAAAAACGAGTGCAAAGTAAGCAAAAATTGTATTTTATAATAACCATTGAATAGAAAGTAATAAATATAAAGAAGAAAATATAGTGATATTTTTTGCCATTAAAATAACTAACCATTGAAAAAGAGAGAAACAATTTTGATATGAATTGTGCACTGAATTGAATGAAATGATTGCTTCGCTCATATGAATCTCTCTCTCTCTCTCTCTCTCTCTCTCTCTCTCTCTCTCTGAGATCTGGAGTGAAAACTACTTGAAATGAGTAAAGAATATAAAGTAAAATAATAAAAATTTAATAACAATAAGAAATTCTAACACAAGTGTTGTTGTGCTAAAGAAAGCGTTAAATGCAGACAAATCTCAACACTTCCTATATATACCTGTTTTATTACAAACAAATATTATAACAAAGATTTGCAAACACTTGACATCACATCAAAATCAGACATTCATATTAAGAGAGATTAAAATTTATCTAAACTTTCCTCTCAAACCATAAGTATTTAAATTATTTTTAATTAAGCCTTTAAATGATATAAATTACAATAATTCTGGTAATGAGTTAATTTGTTAGCCAATACTTTATTACCAGATTATCTCTCTCTCTCTCTCTCTCTCTCTCTCTCTCTCTCTCAATACTTTTAATCTCGTGTCAGAAGCCCTTAAAAATTATTTGACAACTTTTTTCGCTTATAATTTATTTATAGATTTGTTAGAGAATATGATTTAATTTTTTCCTATAAATTATTTATTATGTGTTATAGTGTCGGCAAATATTTCAATTTAGATTTTCAATTAATATTAGCCCAACATTTGGGTAAATTCTTGCCCGGAATATACAGTATATTTTTTTGCTTAAGATTTTTATTTTTTAGTTTGTTTTTCAAGTAATTTTTGACTTTTTTTGTCTCAAATTCTTGTCTAAACTTTTGCATTAGTCTCTCTCTCTCTCTCTCTCTCTCTCTCTCTCTCTCT